TGCGATTTTTACAAAACTTGGCAGTTTGGCGTAATTTCTGTCGTAGAATCGAAATATGGAAAAAATTTGGCATGTCATTTCAGAAAAAGTCCAATTTTGTGTCAATATACCTATGTAATAAATGTAATATATATCCTCACTCTTTCGAGACATGAAAAATGCAATTTGAATCTCGTCAATCAGCCCAGTAGAAGGGGAGATATAGAATTGTTTTTGTTTTTTTTTTTTCGCAGTGCACATCCATGTTCACATTTTGGTAATTACTGACTTATAGTAAAGAGCAAATGAGAACCCTCTCTGTAGCTCCATGCTAGTTTCTATTAAAAGCAGCTATGATGCTAAGCACTCTGCGAAATTAAGAAGAAAATTATAAGGGAAGAAATTTTCCATTAGTTTCTTGATATATTGATATTCAAGAAGACCTAAAAACAACTTTCTTAAAAAAAAAAAAAAAAAAAACTCTCTTTATGACCTCAAGCACACCCGTTTACTTTACCCTTCGTAATTAACGCCATTCTTTTCTTCTTGACCGCATTTGAGACGGCACTGTCCGGCTGGCAGTCCGAAGTTCCAGTACCGTCTAGGGCATTGCAGATTTCTCCTGTTTCCTGTTCCAAACGTTTCTAAAATATTCTACAAGTGGATACTGAACTAAAATGTGCTGAACGATAATTTATCACCATCGGGGTTTGGCAACTGGAGCTACTCTTATTCAGTGGCTTTTTAAGTGGGGATGAATTCTCCTTGCATACCACATGCTTTTCGGGTGTAATTCATATATATCTTCACTTGTTTCATATACATCTTCACTTGTTTAGCTAGCAATAAGAAGTCTAGAGTTCGAATCCCAGGGAGGGTATCGCAAAGTTTTCATGCTTCCTTTGCTGCGACAAATACCTATTAGATTCTGCATGAGCCGCCCAACCGGTATAGTAGTTAGCGTCGCTGACTGCCGTGCCGAAGGGCTCGGGTTCGAATCCCAGAGAAGGCATGGATGTTTCTAAATGTATATTGTCGGTGCCGCATGGCTGCATTCTAAATATAACTGTTACAGCAATGAGTACGCATTTGCTAAGCTTCTCACAAGTATGAGAAGCAAACTGATTCGGGTGTTTGAATTACGGATTTAGGGAGTTATTTCTGATCTGGACACTTGATCAGTAGTTCAATGGTGTTAAAAAGGCTGAAAGAGAGATTTTCATGAGCGTTTGTAAAAATTTCCTGGGGAATTTAAAAGCAAGGAACTATAAAAACGACGGATGATATTTTGAAGTTCATATGAGACATGAAAAGCAATATGCCTTTAAATGCCTTGATATGCAGCTTTATGATTCTGGACTTATGCCATACTTTGAAAAAAAAAAAAAAAAAAAAAAAAAAGAGAAGTAAAAAAGAAAGACAAAAGAATGCAAGATGGGACACATTTTAACTATGAAAGGGATAGGCAGAATTTTAGCGAATATTTCAGGCATAAGGTACTTAAATTTTATAAAAACGTTTTTTTGCATACTTTTTAAAGATGGAAAATCACTGCTTAACTGATTTAAATATTAACATTTTCTATTTCATTACTAAATAATTAAAATATTTTTATACAATACTGAAATTGAGGTACCGAAAAACATGTAAAAGAGAGCTTTCAGTTAAACAAAGCACCAAAATGATAAAAGCATCCGAATTACAACTAAAAAAATAAGTAATTAGTTTAAAAATAACACATAAAGTTTTGGCTTGGTAGGTTGAATATGTCTAATAACAAAAGAGCTATCTGTCTAAGAAGAGGCATGCTTTCGTAGAGCGACTTTGTATCGCAATTTGCTCTCGCATTTATGTAACCACTTGGTGAAAACCCACCTTACAGCTAGCCCGTTCGGGTCGGTTCGAACCCAAGACGCATTACTAGAATCCACCAGCTTTTAACCATTCGGCCACTAGTCGCGGTGACACAATAAGCAAGTGCTGAGCAAGAGCAATAATTAGCCATGTTATCGCTAAAATTTATCAATTTTAAATGCATGTTTTGAATTTTAAAAAATGATTTTTTATGAAAACAAAAAAGAATTATTAATATATTTTGTTGTCCTTAAGTTGAAATAAGAACTTGCAATATAGTGAAGACTTTAAAGGAATGGAAAAATTCAGTGTCGTAGTCTGCTTTATTTCATAAATGTTTAGGTGTACTAGAAGTATTTTTATTAAAAATTTTGCCTTCTCTTCAAAACAGGCCTTGGAAGATCGAGAAATTAAGCTCTACATCCAGTTGAACTGGCACCTTTTTGTGCCTTATTTGCGTATATACGATAGAGATAATTACTATTAGCATTGTATAGAGTTCTACATTTGTTCTTTTTTATGGAAAACCTTATGGTTTTGCTATTTTGATTGTGATTATGTAATTTACATTTACTCAGGATTGTTCCGCTAATTTAAGATACATCTTTTTGGCTTTGTTCCATTTCATACTTTATTTTACCACAATTTTATTCAAATTTAATCTTTTGTTGATCAATAGTATCGTCTAATTTAATGCTTACCCTTAATTTTTCATTCTCTCAATCACTCGAAGAGAGATAGCAGCTCTTAGCTTAACTAGAATTAAGTTAAGACACAATAACACGCCGAATAAATACTAATGCAGAAGTCAAACAACAAAAATCGAAAAAGCTTTCAAGTTCAGTAAAGTTTCAGATTCACAGAAAGAAATGATTAGGCATCTTATCGCTCATAATGTGAAATTCAATAATAAACCTTTGAAACCAAATCTAACTGCGAGAGAAGAGCTACAATGCGCAAATTTCATTCTCACCGGATAGGCATTTCAAAGGCCGACAAAGGTGCCATATAGTCGCAGATAAGATACTTACATCGATGGTGTCACTAAATCTTAAAAAGGACCATATAATCCGATTCCACGATCCTTCACCTTCGGACTTATCCAAAATAAAAACTGCGATCAAATCTTCGCAAATCATTCAAGCAACTTAAAACATTCCGCTTATCCCATCTGTTGCGAATTGTGCCAGATTATATGCTCTTCCCAAATTCATAAAAAGGTATCCTTTCCGCCCTATGTATAAATTAGATACTGCCTCGTATCTTTAGCTAATATTTAGTTTCAGATTTTCACTCTATAGACAATAACTTTACACCATAAAAATTCAATAGAGGTTTGTAAAAAAAGGTTAAAACATTCTCCTAGTATTTACTCATGGTTCTTTTGATGTAAAATCTTATTCACCAATGTCCCAGTGGAGGGGCATTAAGATGTCTAAACCAGACTTCGCGAATTTTTCTCTTGCATCGAATTGAGGAGCTAATTCTCTCACTCAACTTGTTGAAACAAACACTTTTGTTTCCAAATAAATATTACAAGCAAACTGAGGATTAGCCATGGGAACCCTCTAGTCCCATCCTGGCTGATATCTACATCATTATTATGAATCAAATTGTTTAACTTTAACTTCCCGGATGTTTCCGCTACGTAACGAACTTTTACCCTGTTTGATGGAATAAAGATGATTAAAAAAAGTCTTTCAACAATGATTCTATTGATCCTGCTATCAGTTCACTTTTGAACTGAGACTTCAATTCTCTTCCGTTCTCGCATTCTGGTACACGAACACATCCAACTCCAGTACTACAGTTTACCGTACCTTCATCGGTTTGCCTTCCCCCCACTTTAATCATGTCATCCGACTAAACAAAAGTTAGCTTCATTTTATTCTAGGTTTTCCGGCTCTTCAAGTTTGCTCCTCCACTAGCCCTTGAATGAAACTAAATTATTAAAAGCAATAGCTTATGCAGGGTTTTCACCCAACATTATAAATCAAGCAGTTTAAAAAAGTCTCATCTGAACACACTAAAAGCCACACTCTTATTTAGGAGATTATAAATTCTGTTGTCATTCCCTCTTCCATCAATTACTATAAATTTGCACATATTTTGCAGAAATTTAACTTTTCGGGTGTTATTCTCCCATCAATAAAAATTCCGACTTCTATACTCAAGGACCCCATCCGGATATGAATTCCTGGGGTATTTATAGGATTCCTTGCCAGTGTGGTTTAATTTACATTGGCCAAACTAAGAGAGCCTTAAAATTTCGCGTCAAAGAACATTGGGGCATATGTTAGAAAAAGGAACACAGAAGTCTTCTGTGCTCAACATTGCTGGTCCGAAAATCACACTTTCAATTTTTCTGCTGCCAAAATTATTCAAAAAACATCTTCCATTGGAGAAATGGATTTTCTAGAGGCATTCACATTATAAAAATCTTTCTGTTCTAGTTACGATCCTAATTCCAATCCAAATTTGCCTTCGGCTTTTAGAGAAATATGTTTTAGTCTGGTTTCGCCAACAGATGGCGCCACTTGCTTATTCTTGTTCAGCTTTCTTATCTTATCTAATCATTATTTCCTACCTTGTTCATTTGCGGTTTTTGCAGCTGAAGATGATGGTTTGGTAAAACCATCGAAACTAGTCCTGTGAAAATTTTGTAGGTATAACTCTGATTTTTGTTGTTTGACTTCTGCATTAGAATTAAGTTTATTGTTTCTTTTATAATTTTCCTATTTTTCACTTGAGACATTTGATAACTGTAATTATACACACGTATATTTATGTGTGTGTTTATATACATTGTAAAAACATTAGTTTTTTTTTTTTTTTTTACATGAAAAATGAGCAACGCCTTCGCGGGAATCGAACCACGGACCTCTGGAATACGCGTCCAGCGTGCAGACCACCACACTACAAAGACATGTCAAGAAGGTGGGAAATATACTTTATATACCCCCCTTTTTAAAGGGCGACTGGGGTTTTTTTAAGGGACCCAATCGCCAAATCCTGGATGTGGCATCATTCAGGGTTTAGTTCGGGCGCCACTGTAGAGACATTGGGATTTTTTTGGCAACAGGAAAGATGAAAAATGAGCAACGCCTTCGTCAGGAATCAAATCGCAGACCTCTCGAGTACGCCTCGACCGTGCGAACCACTACACTACGGAGGCATACCAAGAAGGCGGGATAAATACCTTATAACATGACTATATAAATATAGGGATGAGTTATTTGTATGTGCATTTTGATTATTTTTAGAGATCGGATAATGTAGTACAAGCTGATTCTCAGTTTTCATTCAGATAGATTTGAAGGCAACTTTCATTAAGGCAATTTTTGAGAGGGGTGGCGCAAAACGACATCGATCTTTTCACCGGTCGGTTTACTGCGACATCATCGAAATAAAATTCTTGTCGTTTCCATGGTAGAGGCGAAACGTGACATGCCGTCAAGGTTAGGAATGACATAACGGAACATGATTTGATTTCCAAATGTTTGGAAAAGTTATTGTGAGTTTCTATTCTAGAGTTATTCAGTGTTTAAACCCTATTAATAAGAATTTCTTAAACATTCCTATGATAATTGATGTTGTTTTGTTAGCGAGGTGAGAGAGAACAGTCTTAAAGATCAGAAGATCAATGGCAAACACTTTTAAAAGAACTTTTTTTGTTAATTCCGTTGCAAAGAAAAATGCTTCATACGCAACTGGTGAAGGTAAGTTATGTCTTGGATTGGCATATATTTATATAATTTTGCTTTCAGTAAAAGTATTCTAACTATTATTATTTGTATAAGAGTAAGATGCATTAGTTTTGTTTCTGTTATTATTGCATCAATAAATCAATGTTTCCTCTAATTTTTCTTATGTAGCGGTGCAGATAAGATGAAATAGGTATAATACTGAATGTACTATATTCAATTTTGAGTCGACGTCTTTAGTTGATTATACTGTGCATTTGTTTGCAGATGTCTGGTAGTTGCACGCGGTAATCTAAATTACCTATTTAGATTCACAGATGTAAATGTGCAGCAGCACGAGCTCTCTTCTTACACGGAAAGCTGCGTTACCGCAGTATTCTTAGTAATATTCAAATTAGCCTTATTCAGCTTATTGATATTCTTAGCAGCATTTAGGTTTTAATATATTCGGGTTTCATAAATCTAAATATCTGTCTGAGAAAGAAAAGCAACATTTCATAAAATTTGCACTAATATGAGATAGAGTCGAAATGACCTTTCTGGCGCACATTTCCAAAAACCGTCTCTTTCACATGTCTAGTTTTTCACATGTTTAGTTTCATGAACGACTCTTTCACATGTCTAGTTTTTTTAACAATATATGTATGTTTTTACGTATTTTCTAGATATGACAGAAAATAAAAAAAATTAGAGGAAAAAACGAAAAAATCTGAAGTTTTTGGAATAAAATGTATGTTCTTTAGATACGAAAAAATACACAAAAATCTTAGGTTTTTAAAATAAATATATATATTTTTTTAGATATGAAAAAATACACAAAAATAGAAACTTTTTTGGAATAAGATGTGTGCTTTTTTGATATGAAAAAATGCACAAAAGTCTTAAGATTTGGGAATAAAAATGACATAAAAATATATGTTTTTTAGATATGAAATAAAATCTTCAGTTTTTAGAATAAAAATATATGTTTTTAAAATAAAAGGTAAACTTGACACAATGTTAAAAAAATTATACAGTTTTAAGCTTCTTTTTCTAATTCATACAAATATTCTCCATCAAGCATACCATCATAATTGAATATGTAATTCCTTTTGTTAACTTTCTTAGCTGCGTTTCAAAAAGTTTCCCATGACCCTTTTTTTAAGATAATACTCTTTTTCTTTACCATCTGCTTCTATTTTTTCTGTGTATGAATCTCCATATTTAGTTTCAGTTTTTTTTTTCAGTAGTAAGATCAGATTATATCTCCCAGGCTCTAAGTCTTTCAATTCTAGAGTTTAAGGATAATAGCGAAGACTACTGAATTCTTCAGCTTACTTATTTATAAGCATTTTTAAAGGCTTTTACAAAATGATAATTTCACCATCTATATAAATTATTTTAAGTATCATATAAAATTCCTAACCCTTCCAGTTTAAGGTTTCCTTTTCTTATTTTTAAATATCATTAAATGATATTAGAGATTTAGAATTTAAATCTCTAATATCATTTAAGTGTTCTATATTGTTCATTTTTACTGAATATACAGTTTTTATAATCTTAAAACATAATTCTATTTTCAACTACACATTTCTTAATTCTTTAGATTTTTTAAATTATTTCATCTTCAGTTTTATTAGCTATCTTAATCTACAAATTCAATAAATATTTTATCTAATACCTTTTTATTTTTAAAGGTATATTATATCTGTTTTCTTTAGGATAATTTGATATATCAAAATAATCAATGATAACTTTAAATCTTTATAAAAAAAATCATCTATTTTAATATCATATATAAAACTATCGGTATCCATATAAAATAATAAAAGGTCTTTATATTTAGGTTTCATAACATTATAATAAAAATTATACATTAAATGTTTTGATAAATGAACAGCTGCTAAATTTTACTAAATATTGTTCTACCTTTAAAAGTTTGTTTAGCAATTAATTTTTTAACTTGATCACAACCGGTACATAATTTTATTTCTACTCTTTTCCTAAAATTTTCAATATGGTGTATTAGTCATTAATTTCATAATTATTTCTCAAAATTATTAACAGCTTTTTTCCTCATTTTAGTATTTAAATCTACATGTATTTATTTTTTAACTATTCTGATTGCTTTAATTCTAAAATTCTTTAACTTTACATATTTAACTATAAAGGTATGGTAGGTAGAGAATATTCTTACGACTTAAACCTTTGATATATGCGATTACTTACAGAATATATACTATTTTTTCTGTATTTTAAAGAGTTTTTTTTTAAATTTATTTTGGGGGAGCGCTTAAATTTACACTGTTTTTACAATTATTTTAATTCTTTTCCATACTATAGAAAACACAACAAATTCGACAATTAAAATCAACATGTAAATACGTTCTCTACGACTTGCTCTGAGGCACCGCATTCCTTCGAAGAAATTCGTAATCACTTTTTCACATATCTGACGATCGAGGTGACTAATAACGAATTCAATTTCCTCTTTCATATTTTTTGTTGTTTTCTTTTTAAATCGGATTTTTTGGGGACGTCCAATAACACTGCCACGTAAAATAGCGATGTTTTCGACAGACTGGCTAGATCGAGAGCGTTGTGATTTAATGTCTGCTGTCAAACATGTGTCTTCAGATTTCTTCATCAGTCTGTAGACTTTTGCTTCATTAGGTGCATTTTTATGTTCAGAGATTGCAAGAAGCTTTCTAACAAAAAGTCTGTTCCTAACACTCTCCACTCTTGCAATGAATATTCACAATCAAAACTCGCTGTTCCTTTATGTAGCAATTCAAGTCAACTAAGCTACAATGAAGGTGAAAAATTAACTGACAGTGATAAAATGCCAGTGCTGTTAAATCAAACTAGACTTTCTTAAATCGGAACATTTATCTGTTTATGTAACTAAATATTTTCCATTTTCAAAGAATAAAGTATTTTTTCGGGCATATGAGATACGGCGCTTTTGTTGAAACATTCTATATGACAACATATCCTTCTGAACGAAGGCAATCTCTGAGGCATTCCTTCTCATGAAGAAGACAGCTCTTGTGTCCGAACAAAATCTTAAGCCAAGGTAGCCGTTTTTTTTTAAGCAGACAGCTCTTATGAACCTTACTGTAAATACTTTTGTGGCTAATTTCTTGAAAAGGCTGCGAACAGCCTTAAAAATAAACATGAGTGAACCAGAGGGCGAACTGGTAGTTAGCCATGGACCTTGAGCATAGTTGTGACTGTCCTTCACTGTCCAGCTCCACCCCAGTTTTAATAGATCCCTAATCAATTGATCTCAATTTTTTTTCTTTCCCACAAATTAAAAATTCCGCACTACCAGGTAAACCATATGCACCACCATATAACAAGATGGATAACATACAAATAGCCATGAAGAAGTACTTAAATATTACCACATTATAGAAGAGAATTATATATTACCTTACTTAATATATTACCTTACTTAATATATAATTACTTAAATATTACCACATAATAGATTCTTTAGAAGAGATGCACCAGTGACAGCACTATATTCAAATTCACTTCCTAAAATACTACAAAGAGTTAGGAGTTTCACTTTCAAAGAAAATTACTTTGAAGATGGTAAATGTGCATATGCTGGCTCTTCCAAACATAGGTTTCAGTAACTTCTCTCATTACTCATTTATTCTGTCGTGTTTGTTATTCTAAAACTATTTTTATCAATAAGCTTATGTCTTAAGGAATACTTTTCATCCTTCTTGTTTTACACTCTTAATACTCATTCTTTTACCTTTTATAATTAATGATTATTGCATCCTCAGATAATAAAATAAGTTATCTTAGTTAGCAGCCCCTAAAACACCAAGTGGAGCAACTGATGACGATTCTGAAATTGGGCATCCGAAAGCAGAAGTTCTTCCCCCTACTTTATTTTCAAAATCATCCACACCTGAATCTGATGACGTTTTAGAAGAAATACAAGATCCTAAATTTTCGACTCTTAATTATCAGATGAAGAGCTCCTTTACCGAACCTGGAAATACAGAGTCTCGATTCTTCTGGATGATTGATCATATGTCTTTTCGGCAACTTTTCCGATTATATGCAAGGTATGGCGATCTGAACAGGGATGGAGAATCTATCACTCTGACATGTAGTGACAGATGGTTACGACAAGCTAAGGTCATTGATAACAAGAGAGTTAACACAACAGATACTGGAATATACTTCAGACAAGTGGCCAAGTAAGAGTGATTATTCTTCTAATTCTGCACCAGTGACAGCACTATGTTCAAAATGAAGTAAGACTGTGTGTGTATTGTTTAATAGTTAACCTAAACAGATATGATTCAATTAAAACCTCTCTGTTATCCTTAATACAAATTTTTGAACAAAGTTGGTTTCAGCTTTGAGTTAAAGCCTCTAAATATTTGATAGGCAAAAACCGCTTAAAATCTCTTCTCTGCAAAGCTTTTTCTGTTAGTTATTTTAAAATAACACCGTTTACATAAATATGACTTTTTTTATTACCGAGTTCAAAAAATTAAGTAATTGAAATTTGTTCCAATTTAAACATCTTTTTCATATTTCTTATTTGGAAATAACACTGATTTAATAAACATGACTTCAGTTATTACTAAGCTCGTGGTAACAGACAACAGAAATTCATTTTAATACAGACATAGGTAATGACAAGTAATGACTGATGCTTACGCCTTATTTGTTTACATGTTTGCTTATGTTCTTGAGGGCTAAAATATTCTTTAGAAGAGATACACTAAAATAATACGCATCTAGTATACATCGAAAATTAACTGGCAAAGTTTGTAAAGAGATTAATTACAAGCGAGGTTTTCCATATATTGTTTACATTAGCGACTAAACTGTGACCAAATCTTAGGTTTCTTTTTCTTTTGCATATATTCTATAAACATATTTACTGCAGCCTTAAGTGCTTTATGTAAAAATTCCATGTATTTAGATAAGCCTGTAAAGTTGCGCGCTTCCAACCTGCACGCAACAAAGTGGTGACAGCTGAAAACTGGAAATTAGACAGAGTCTTGAGAAGGGTTTAAGTCCCTTTTTATTCAACTTTAGAAATTACAAATGCGTGCTCTTGACGCTCACAAACTACGCCGACCCGGCGGTAAAATAAAAATAAGAAACTAAAAAGAGAATAATAACAAGATTCTAACTACGAGGCTCTCAACGCGTAACTAACCTCACCGCGTTCTAAAATACCGCTGATAATTCAGCAAACTTCTGAATATTACGTTGAAAGATTGACAATCTGCCGAGGCAAGCACACAGGCCGAAACGCGTGGTTCTTCAATTTCTAACTAGCCACCTCCACGCTCATGAAGGAAGAAAGCACACCTTCGAACTCGTTTCCCTTCTATTTAACTCAGATTACTTCCGCTGACAATTTGAATCCTTGCGCGTTCTACTAAAATTTACATACTCTGGCATTGGCAATTCCAGGGGAAAGTAAGGCTTGACAGGAAAGATAGTTTAAACTTAAAATAAATGTTAGTTAAAATAAATAGAAACCCTACAAAACGACCTGTTGAAAAGTTTCTACAGTTCAGAACTAAATTTTAAGAGCCTCGTTTACATAAAAAAAATCTTTTATCTCACAAAAGGTATAATAAATTTCTGTATATACTTATTTTAATTCTCTCTTCTTACAGCAACCTTTCCTGGACTTCAGCAATCAATCTTGTTCTTTTCCTTCCAGCATCTAGAAGGAATAAGTATCAGTATCTTTCTAAATACATTATAATTTACACTTTCTTGACACTGAATAAATTTTTGTTTTTAAACAATTTATTTTCCTTAGTTACTGCTTAATTCACATTCATTCAAGTATTCAAACATGAATTTAACTTTACCCTGGCTCTCCACCATGTGTGGTGTCAAACGGGAATATTCGTGTTTTAGTATTGCAACACTTCCCCTAACCACAATGATTTGTTAGAATTCAACGACCAAATAGACACACCTTACTCGACATTCTACAACTCGATGAGCTACTTTAACATTCTTAAAATTCAAGTGTAGGTGGAGAACCCTACAAAAAACATTCATTCATTAAATTTAACTTCCATCTCATTCATCTTTAGACATGCAGGCTTTCGTGATTTTTTTAGAATGCTCTAAAGCATGATTTTATCTACAGTTTAATACTTAAATTTCTTTTGAGCATTTACTTTTCGCATCTAAAATTTATGCTTCTAGACTAAATTCTACTTTTACATAACTTTCAAGTATTTACGTATATTTACAAAATTCTAATACATATGATTTTTACAATTTACCATAAAATGAATAAGAGAAAAATAAATTTTTACTTTACTCATTCTTCGCCAAGCTGGCGGCACTGAAACTAAAGTTCTTATTAATACAAGAATACGAAGTTATTTTTATCTTCGGCCAAATTTTGGCTTTAACATAACAGAATTAGTCTTTCGACCAACAGAAACTGCTTGTTCTTAGATTTTATAATTAAAGAAAATAATACTTTTGCCTTAGCTAAATAAAGTAAAACAAAACTAAGTCTCAACCGAGACACATTGACTTCCGTCAAAACATAGAACTTCGTATTTACGCATAACATTTCGGAACAAAAGAAAAAATGTTATAGAAGATTTTAACTTATTTTTGAATTTTTGATGATTGGAACTCCGTCATTCTTTTCTGGCAGAACTGCTCCCACGTTATAGGTTTCATGGACGTCAGTCTTCTCCTTAGGGTCCTCGAGTGTCGTTCCACGTTCATTTTCTTTTCGCCCTCTGCATGCTGGCCTCTTGGAGTGGTAGTCGTCGGGTTGCTGTCTTTTCCGTTTTTACCCTGGACGGCTGGTCTTGGCGTCCTCCGGTCTGGAGTCATTCTTGAATTTCTTCTGTTGGTGGTGGTCTTTTCGTTCCTCCTGCTGTCTTTTCGTTTTCGGGAACGGCGGCCTTGTTTGCACCTGACTCTCTGGCCCTGGAAGCGTTCTCCTCGATGTAGAATTTCTACTGCGATACGTTGTAAGTGGTGTTTTCCTCTTTACCAAGGTTTCTTTTCGCGGTGGCTTTGCATTCTTGTTTTTCTTAAATGCTGGAGTCTGAAACCGTTTTCTTTTTTCTTTTCGGTACCGTCGCCTGGATTGTAGAAGGGCTAGGTTTCTCTTCAGTTCTCTGCTTCTTGGGTGGTGGAACGGGTGACGTTATTTCTGGACCTTCTACTTCTTTTAGGCTTGAGTCCTGCAAAAAAACTTTTAAGGATTTCAAAATCATTTTGATTATAATATTTTTTCACCTGGTCGGGACTTGCTTTACAGATTTCCCCTCTCTCGTTCTTAAGGTACAATACGACTCCCTTGATTTCCTGAATTACATAGGGGCCTTCAAATTTTGGAGCTAACTTTGCAGTAAAATTGTCTGGGGCACTTGATAAAGAAAATTTCCGCTTCAATACTTTATCCCCAACTTTAAAATCTGCTTCACGGCGTTTTCTATCATAATATAACTTTTTGTCTATTTCTTGCCGTATCCGAGCTTTTAACCGCCTGGTCAATAAGTGTTTGCACATCTTCTGTTTAAATTCTTGCTCTCTTTGTTGCACAAAGAATAATTTATCTAAAGTGGCGTAATTAACTTTCGGCCTAAAAATAATTCTGCTGGGGTTTTTCCCGTAGTATCGTGCTTTGCCGTTCTTAAAGCATAAGCTAACTCATTTATGTAGCCATCCCAGCGCTTGTGATGTGTGCTAACGTAACTTGCGAATTATTTTTACAATGTTTTTATTAACTCTTTCTGCTATGTTTGCCTGTGGTCTATACGGAACCATTTTGATATGGCGTATGCCAAGTCCAGTGCATATGTTTTCAAATATTTGGACTAACGAATTGTTTACCGTTATCGCTAATGACTTTTATCGGTGCACCGTATTTTAAAATGTATCTGTGTAAGAATGCATCTGCGACTTTTGGCTGACGCGCGTTTAAGTGGAACAATTTCTGTCCATTTTGAAAAATGATCTACAATTACTAAAAGAAAACGATTTTTATTTAACTCACTCTGGGGGAAAGGACCAAGAAGATCTATGCCTAAAATTTCATTCGGAAATGTAGCGCGAATGCTATTTAAGTACCCGGCCGGGCTGTAATTAATATCATTTATTAACTGACATTGATTGCAGGACCTGACATACGCAGTTACTATTTTGTATAATTGCGGGAAATATACCGCCTCGCGTACCCTTTTTAAAGTCTTTCTGACCCCTAAATGACCCGCTGTTTTCGCGTCGTGTAATTCCTTCAAAATGCTTAATCGAAGCGAGGCTGGGATGACTGGTTTGTACTCGAGATTTTCGTTTGTTGTTTTCGTATAAAATAATAAATTATCTATTATTTCATAGTTTTCGTCTCTATTTCTTATCGCATCGATATCTGTGTGCTCAAAGCTTTCGGGGTCTTTCAAATATGCATAGATATTTCCAAATTCAGGATCAGCTTTCAAGTTCAGTGATAATCGTATCTCTAGAATCTAAAATTTTTGAAGTCAACACAGCGCATTTAAGTTCATTTCCTTCATCGTCCAGTTTTATACGAGAAAGTGCGTCAGCTACATTGTTTTCCTTACCCGGTTTATATTTTATTATTAGATTATATTCTTGGAGTTTTAAAGCCCATCTTATTAACCTGGGCGTTAGGTTTTCCCCGAGTAAAGTCTACCAACAGCCGCATGATCCGAAAAGACTGTTACTGGCGCTTTGCCGAAATAAACTCGAAATTTGTGTACAGCCATTAATACGGCTAATGTTTCTCTCTCTGTAGCTGTATAATTCCTTTGTGTATGATTCAACGTTTTACTAAAAAATGCCTAAAGGATGGCCTTTTGCATAAGAACCGACACCACCGCATAGTCCGACGCATCTGCTGCAATTTCCAGGTTTTCGTCCCCTCCGGGAATTTCAAAAACAGGGGCATTGATGAGCGCTTCTTTTAATCTTTCAAATGCGGTATTTGCTTCCGCTGTCCACGTGAATTTACTTTTCTTTCTTTTAATTACTAACAGGGTTCAACAATATTAGCGAAATCTTTTATGAAAGACCGATAAGTAAGAACATAACCCAAGGAAAGAAGAAAGTTTCTTGGCGGTGTTGGGCGGTGGGAAATTCTTGATTGCTTTTATTTTTTAATCTTGCGTTTCTATACCCTTTTGCGAAATTTTATAACCGAGATATTTAAGTTCTTTAGTTG